TAGGACAACGCATTATTACAATAATATAATTTTATTAGTAGTATATATTTTGCAAAAAAATCGTTTTCAAAAATGTAGAATTTTTCAATTTCACTAGATATGTCCTCAATGTTCAAATATTTAGTTTTTAAACAATATTTCTATTGATTAAACATTTACAAAAGAAAAAAATTGGAATTATTTAAAAAAAAAAATGAATGGTGCTAGGATCGAACCCTAGCTGCTCGCGTAGCAGGCAAGCACGCTGCCCACTGGACAACGCGCTTATTTTAAAAATATAATTTCATTAGTTGTATATATTCAATACATTGAATACTTTTTTTCATTTAAAATTCCACAAGATGTGGTTTGCCCCTTCAGCTCGTTCTACAGTCAGCTAAATTTCAGTTACAAATGAAAAATACATACAATATAAATACAATAACAATAAAATACAATAAACAGATACAATAACAAATAAAAAACAAAAAGCATTCCTGCCGCAGAAAATAAAATTCACCCCGTCGACTTGATTGACACCCCAGCATTACGTGTGGCGCCCTTCCTCTCTGGGGTGCAGTACTACGATGCCGCTGGGGTTACTCAAACCTCCAGAACTGAGCCTCTACTTCAGTCAATCCTCTTTGGCACCAGCTGTGATGCACTATTTTATTCTCTCGGATCAGATGGTTCATTAGAATTTGCGAGGATTCCCAGGAGACATAACTCTGACGTCAGATCATGATGGGGTTCGAGTGCACTTTTGATTTCCCGGGGTTGACGGAGATTTGACGAGTCTGCCAGGTATTTTCCAACTGAGAATTGAATCTGCTGGGCTCTGCCTCGGAACTGATGTAGGACATAACCTACGAGCTTCGATCATGGTGAGAATTACCTTATTTTGGACCAGTCAATTATCAAAACTTATCTAAAATCAAAATAAAACGGAATAAGCATTTTCAAATTACCAGTTTATCTCCAAAACTATCCACTCATTGTAAAAACCTTAAAGAACTTTTTTGGAGCTTATTAAATTTGTAACAAAACATTTCCTTGACAGTTTCTCCTGAAATCAATAGATTCTTTGATAAATCGATAATTAATACCTTTTTATTCCATTTTCAGGCAACACAGGACGAAGATTACGTTAAAAGCGACGAGTTCGACACATCCTCTGAAAATGAGAGGCCATCCGGAGAGAGATGGGCCCCTGTTGGGGCCAATGATGGGGACAGTGACTTCACTGACGACTATAAGTGCTCTGACAATATGGAAAGGTGAGCCACTTGATTTATCCGACTGTTGAAAAATTTCCGCTGAATTTTCCCGATTTTCTCCTCAAAATCGAAGTAATTGCCCTTTGAGAATTTTCCTGGCGGTTAAATCAATAAATTGAATGTTCCTATATTTTATTCCTTCCATTAAAATTCATCCAATGCTCCGGAGAATTCAGCAATTTTTTAAACAGAGCATGCATGGGCTAGAGTAGAGCAATTTGGTGGATTACTAACATCTGGTGAATTTGGCAGTATTTCTTACAATATGGACAGGCTTAAATTGCTCGAAGAGGAACAGGAAATGCTCAACTCGTCATTAATAGCATTAACCACGCACTTTGCACAGGTAGAATACTCTAACGACTCATCAATTCATTCACCGTAAGAACAATTGCAATTTTAATTTGACATGCAGGTGCAATTTCGACTGCGCCAAATTGTGGATGCACCTACTGATGAGAAGGAGACACTCCTGAAGGAGCTGGAGGAATTTGCCTTCAGGGGAATTCCAGACGTTCCCAACACCGTCGCCTTGAAAAATAGATCGTCCTCGTCGTCGATTTCTCTATGTGGAAACGTAAGGAGTATTTCCATTAACCGACAACCACAGGGAATTCAATATATTATTATTTTAGAATGGATGCAGTGGTTACGACGAGGAAGTCGAATCCAAGATTGCCCTGCAGAAAACCAAGCAACGAGAATTGATCGAACAGTTGAAGGTTCAACTGGAGGACCTGGAGAAATATGCGTACGAAACTGATGGCCAGGATCTGCCCCAGAGTGTCATTCTAGAACGTCAGAACATGATAATCAGTGCGTTCATAATCTTGTGATTTTCTCTCGTGAATTTTTATAATTATAATTGATCTTTCAACAGATCACTTAAAAGAGAAATTAAACTTCGAAGTGGACGACCTCTGCAAGCTCCCCCTGGACGACCTGCGCTGGCAGGTGGACCACGCAATAAACGAGATGGTGAGCCCCTTGAAGATGAAAGAACAACTGGTAAATCAGTTGAAAACCCAAGTAGCAGATCTAGAGCGTTTCATCCACTACCTCCAGGGTGAGGTGAGCGTGGAGAGCCTGGCGTGCACTTGCGCCTGTCCAGTGCACACGACAGGTCTAAAGCCATCGGATAAATCAAAACGCAAGATTCCCCTGATGGACAGGCGCGACGACGCCCACACGAAGACCTTGAATACAGTTCGTAAAGTGATAACTCTCCTCCACATCTATCTGATGTCCCAGCTGGGATGCAGTAGCGAGAGGACTCGAAAAAAAGACAGCAAGACTACCTGGAGGGACCTGAGAACTCGCCTGGACATCGCCATCGAGCACGTCCTCGAAATCGCTACGGAAAATGACAGTCAATCTGACGCCCATGACAACGACGACGACGACGACATCGATCTCTATGCATCGGATTCAGAATCCCCGAAGCAACGCACAAACACCAAATTGACGTCTGCTGTGAGGAAACACCTGGCTGTGTGCATCAGAGATCTTATGGCCCATGGGTTGAGCTCTGATGTGCGATCAAATAGTGTTGTACCTTTTGTCGGTTGTTTTCCCCAGAGGAAAAGTCTCACTGTTGATCAAATGCACCCCTGGGAGCTCATCATCAAGTACTATGAGATCAAGAATGGACACAGGTACAACTCCAGTCCTGCACAGAAGCTTTCCCAGAGCTTCAATCTTGCTCTAGTGAATGAGAGAACTGTATCACCGAAACAGAGTCTTCTCACAACTGTAGGGAATATTGTGGCTACCCATTCGCAATATAAACGAAGTTATAATTCACATTTCAAGGCTTTCATCTGTGCAGCTTTGAAGTGAGTATTTTTTTTTTTAATCCATATTGATATTAATTCGGATTTTCATGTGTTCATTCTTTAAATATTTTTTTTAGTGCTAAAAAATTGGTTCCTTGGCTGCGGCTTATTCTTCAGTGTCAGTATTTACTGGAGAATCATTACATGTCTTGGAGTTATGTAGTTAAAACTGGTGAGTGTGCAAATAATTTTTAAGTAATTAAAACTTTGAGTTTTCGTGGAATGTCTTTGAACCTGGGAAAAATTATTATTCCGGTTATGATATTCGTTTAATCGTCTTTTAGGATTTCAAGATGCATTTCACGCCCTCGATCGTCTAACACCCATTCACTTCGATCTTCCTGTTGACCTGGCAGTCCGTCAATTCCAAAATATCAAGGATGCATTTTGATCCCCCGGAGTCATGATAAAATATTAGAATTCATCAGCTGTCTTTTCCTCATCTCCGAGAGGAGAAAAAAGTCCATTGCTTTCATCATAAACTACAGTGCACCATATGTTAACCACGCACACCCCATTCAAAAAAAAGAAAATAATTTGCCCTCAATTCGTAATTCCAATTGCTCCCTTTATTTCTCTGAGTTATTTACTGTTTAAGCCGACAGACATCAAAATACTTTGAATAAGATATTTATTTACTAGATAATCAAATAATTGTAAAGTAAATATTGATTTACATAATCCGAAGAGTGTAAAAATGGATTCAATAAACTGTTGATTATTTATGAATGCAAAAAATTTTGAAAATTTATCGGAGGATAGCAAATAATCCTGAGGAGGAGATAATTGATCAATCGATTTTTTTGCGCATGCCTGGGTCTCCAGGGCGTATCATCTGGACCATCCAGTTACCATCCGAGGCCTCCATATACACGCAGAAGAGAGATAGAATTCCCCTTCTCATATCCCTTTGACAAGTACCTCCAGAAAATTTAATCTGATGCATAGGTACGAGTACCCCAGCCATTAGTGATTGTTCAATGGATATTATATAGGCCATCATGGACTGAAAATAAGGGACAATCAAGTCGGATCATTGACACTCTAAACCACTTGTTTCGTAGCAGTTTTGAAGGGGATTTGTGCTCGATAGGATTGCTGGAGGATTTCTATCGGCTTCTGGTGCTCAACAGTTGGAATTTTTGTCAATTAAATATTTCCATAGATTTTTCTATTTATTTTGAAATGAACAAGTTCATTGGAACTCTGTGTCTGGTCCTCCAGGTGGGCATTGCATTCTCTGGGGTGAGTTATTAACCGGAAATTTAATTTTTTATTTATCCTATGTATAATATTTTATATTTATAAAAGTGTATTGGAGAATATTTCTGCGAGTTCCATTTTATTTCAATTCGATTGACCTGAATAGATCGAGTGATTTTATTTCCTTCTTCATTTCAGCCTGTTGGACGCCCTGATTTTGTATCAGATGACATGATTGCTCTTGCAGCAAGTGTTGTCAATGCGTGTCAAACGCAAACAGGCGTAGCCACAGGTAATTGTTGCATTAACATATTTCTCTGTGTTTTTTTTCCATTTTTTTCTTCATTACCCGGTATTTCTTACTGAAGTACTCATTATTTCGCGTTAAACGGAAAATTAATGATTTACAGCTGACATTGAAGCTGTCAGGAGTGGCCAATGGCCAGACTCAACACCCCTGAAGGTAATTGTCATTTTAATTCGGCTTCAATGAAGATGAAACCGTCAATTATGGTTTCAGTGCTACATGTACTGCCTCTGGGAGCAATTCGGCCTCGTAGATGATAAACGGGAGCTCAGTCTCAACGGAATGTTAACGTTCTTCCAAAGAATACCAGCCTACAGAGCTGAAGTTCAAACTGCTATCAGAGAGTGCAAGGAGATCGGTAAATACTTCGGTATATATTTTTTTTTATTATTTCACCCTTCTTTTTTTTTAATTTATCTTGCAGTCTGCATTTTTTATTACATATTTAATTCATTCAGCTAATGGAGACAATTGCCAGTACGCATACACCTTCAATCTGTGTTATGCCAAATTATCTCCAAGGGTATGAAAAATATTTACATACTGATATTTATTGTTAGCTTTGTCCACTATTTCATCGATAAATTAATTCTATTTTATTATTGCAGACTTATTACCTATTCTAACTGCCAAAACGATTTAACCGTATAATCATCTTTAATGTGATCATTCAGGAAGTACTCGCCGAATACTCAACTACTATCGAATCTATGAATAATCAAAAATAACAATCAGTCGTAAAAATTTTTTCGATGATGTACGTTTGATGGGATATTAATATTGACTTTAATAAAAAAATGATTGAGTGTCCGCGTTACAATGTTTAATTGCCGTGGAAAAATTGAAAAACAAATTGAAAAAAAATTTACCTGCATCACCTTCATTACATTTTTTTTTATTCATCTCAACCAAGTCCTATTCCTGGGTTTAAATCATCATGTCACGAACATTTCATGATAATTTTCTGGAGTCGATTTGATATAAAATACGAGAAGGACTGAACCTCTGCATCAGTTTCTCTCAAATCGTGGAAGTATTCTCTTGTGATTTTCCATTCGATTGAATTCAATCAAAATGGTTAAATATATTCTCAGTGCAGTCGTCCTGGTCTTCCTCGTAGGCTACATCTCCGCTGGGGTACGTTATGAATCCACTGAATATTTTATTTCTGTCACAGGAAAACGATTATCTTCCTGTAGCAATAATCGAAAATATTAAAAAATAATTCAATATCTCTTTAGCCAATTCCAAAAGAATTCCAAGAGGTAGCTGGAGATATCCGAAAGGTCTGCATCGCCGAGACTGGGACAACTGTTGGTAAATAATTTAATAAAACATTCGATCACGTGCAATTGAACAATTGGAAATTGATTTTTTATTCAGATCTCATTGAGCGAGCTGGAAAGGGTGACTTTGCTGATGATGAAAACCTGAAGTGCTACCTCAAGTGCCTTCTGGCGCAATTTGGACTGGTGAGTAATGAGACAAGATAATTAATTCTCTACATAATACTTTACATAATTAAATCGTGTGTTTGGTCTCAGATCTCGAAGAAGGGGCTAAACTTCGAGCAACTGGTTAAAGTAGCACCACCAGACATGAAGGACATGGCAAAGCAACTCGGAGTGACATGCAAAGACATCAGTGAGCGAATGAGAAAAAATCTGTCAATTAAACCCTTGAATAATTGAATAAATTCTCACTTTTATTTTCCAGAGATAAACGAAGCGGGAGATCAGTGCGATCTGGCCTACCACATGTCAAAATGCTTCTTCAATACTTTCCCAGAGGTGAATCTCTGAAATTTATAATTATTCCATCCCCTTGAGAAAAATTAATCTCTCAATTTTCCTTCCAGCAATACTTCATCATGTAAAAATAACGAAGAAGACCAGCTTAATCGGACAACTCTATTCTCTCCAATATAATCAAATACAGATGTACAAATCTTGATTTGTATTTACAATATAATAAAATAAATCATACACTCAAAATATTTCGTCGTCCGATTACGTCTTTCTAGGTTTAGTCTTTCTTTTATTGATATTCATAATCTGCTCGACGATAATATCATCAGTCCTTGGATCGATGGGAATGCTCTGAGGTACTGGACTCCTCTGAACAGGTCCAGCCTTGGACCACTGTTCAATCCTGACATTGAGCCATACCCACAGCTTCTCCCTATTCAAAAAAGCAATGGCCACGAGCATAATGAAGGGTAGAGCAATGACAGAGCTCTGGTTCATTTCGCCATGATCGATCTTGCGTTCAGCCTTGAACCTCAGGGTTAAAGCCTTGAACGAGGTATTGGCCTCGAAATAACTAGGAATGACCTTGTACTTGTAAAGAGCAGTCGACAGAGAAGACTCGAGCTGAACAAAGTACTTCTTGCCATTGGACTGCAGCGGAGGGAAATGCATCAAGAATCCAGGATTACTGTGAGAATTAAATTTACTAGCCTGTTGAGGATCGATCCTGACTGAATGAATAGGTGAATCAGGCTGGTCCTCCCTGCAGAGCTTCACTTTGAGGGTCCTGTAGTGATCGACCTGATCAGCAATGACGTGGACAGACAGATCGGTTCTGGGGATGGGGTGAAAAGCGATGAACCTGAGGCCCTCGACGTCTGTATCAATAACCTGCACGTCAATTCCCTCGGGGGAGGCTCTGTACACTCTGGAATTGGTCTGGAATTCATTGTCCTTCAACCTGACGACATAATCACAGCCTGGCTCGAGCCCTCTTATCCTGAATCTGCCATTCTCCTCAGTGGTGGCTTCCTCCAGGAGTGAATCGCAGGAGCTCGATGGAGAGTTTCTGGGAATACCAGAGCCACCCTGAGCCTCGACAATCAGTCCAGGCTCAGGCTCACCATTCAACGATGTCACTGTCCCCACAGCACTGAAGGCAACTCTCTTTGCCAGAAGTTTAATCTGCACAGTCGCACCCTCTGACACTTTAATGATTTTCGATGGTGGATCGAATCTGTACTCCTTCATCACAGCTCGAAGATAATATTCCCCAGATGACAGGGAGTTGAACACTAGCTGTCCCTGACCCCCAGTCACACTGTTTTTCCTGTAACCTCCCTGCCCCCCGGACAAGGACAGCAGAACCCCTGGGAGGGGAGACTCATCCTGGTCTACAACATCGACAACAACTTCTGCTAGTTTTTCAGCATAAAAAATCCCATCGGAGTCTCGATGGCGAGTTATCGAAAATCCTGACTTCTCGGCTGTCACTGTGTACTCGACACTGCCATCCAGGGGTCCAATCCTGTAGTTTCCATCTTGCTGGGTCACCAGGGTGTGCACCGGTGCCTCTTTATCTTTTCCAAAGATCTTGATGGTGACGCCCTCGAGGGCAGGCGATATCTTCCCCTCAATGATTCTTCCAATCTGTCCAGTGAAAGTTGCTGCGTCATTATTGCAGTCGTTTGTTCCTGTGATTTTCAAGGACGGGGGCGAAAAGAGGATTATGTCAGATTGAGGTGTGATCACGTAGATGCTGTCCACGTTAGCATTGAATTCGAAGATGTATTGGTAAGTGTCCTTCGTCCTCGAGAACTTCACGGGTGAGTAAATAGTCTTCTCTCCAGTCTCGATCTTCACTTTGATGTCGACCTCCCCCACCTCTGAGGACGACGAGGGAACGAGGATTTTTCCCCTGTGCCTGTGCTCGTTCGATGTTAAAATTATTGGATTCTGATTTGTCGTGTCCCAGGGGTAGAACTCCTTCGAATAAATGTGACAGCTCTTTGGAATGAATTTGTAAATTCCAGGACTGGAGACACAGTGTCTCGTGCTGCCCATGGGGAGAGTCAGGGCGATCTTCTTGGATTTTCCAGGATCAAAGAACTCGACCGCCGAGTCGTGGGACGAGATGAAAGTCACTGTGAAGCCCGTCTGCTTGAAGGGGGGGACTGAGGCTTTCTCGGAAGTCACGGAGATCTGCTGGATGGGATTTTCCCAGCAGAAGACGTCGGTGTCAATGAGAACCTCGTAATGACCTGGGAGGACTTCACTAAACTCGTAATTTCCATTCTGGGCTTGAATCGTCTTCACGGTCAGTCCGTCCAGAATTTTCAGGGTGACGAAGGCCTGATTGCAACTGGATTCTGTGCTCAGACACTTGATGGAGCCCGACAGGATCGCTTTCAGCTGGAGAAAGTTGACATTATTGATGGGCTTTCCTGAGACGTCGATCGTCTGCTGGAGTGGGAAGAACTGTAATCCTTTAGTTTTCTCCTCAGTGTCAACCACAACACTGAACTGGTATTTCCCAGGGATCAGGAATACGCAATAATCCCCAGTCTTCGGGTCAGTTTCGATTTCCCGGCGAAGAGTGGCTCCAGGGTTTTCGAGAATTACCTTACGATGGTGCAGAGTGCCTTTCGTTGATAAAGTGACTGTCCCACAGACTTTGTAGGTACTGGGAGATGAGATTGGAAGCTCTGGAGAATTTGCCGAGATCTTCACAGTTGCCTCGTCGAACTGGACGTCAGGGGCTTCTATCTTCAGCGAATACTGACCCGTCTTCATTTTATCGACAGAATAACGACCTAATTTGTCAGTCGTAGCCACTTGCTTTCCTGAGATGAAGACTTTGGCGTTCGGGAGGGGAATTTTATCCTTTGAGGACAGCAGGACTGTTCCACTGACTGTGAAACCAGTGACTTTGAAGTCCCGAGGGAGATTGACGCTGGAGTGATCGACGGTGAAGACGAGTTCCGGGGGTTGAACGTGGAATTTTGTCTGGGGAGTGGAGTAGTGAGGAATCAGGCGATAATTTCCGTTGGTCAGGGCTGGGAATGTGAAGACTCCTGAGGGAGACGAGGTGACGTGGCAAAGGGGCTTTCCCCATTTGGCATCCGTTTTTATCTCCATCGAGGAAGGAACTGCTGGACAATCCTTGAAGCCACCTGTTCCGAAGAGTACAAAGGAGACCCCTGACACTGGGTGATTGTCCTCAGTGATTACGCGACCCTTGACGTCGTACCCGAAGACCGTCAGACTGTTATCAGGGAGTTCGGTGTTTCCTTCCCTCACGGTTACATCCACAGTGTTCTTTTCCATCCTCCAGACCGAGTGGGAGGCCACCAGGATGTATTTCCCTGGCTGAATCGGCGTGAAGGAGAACACTCCGCCCTTCGAGGTTGTCGTTGTGCCAATCGAGTTGTCATTGTGAATTTTTTCTTTGTAGAGAACCACTGTCACTCCAGATGGGCCTGACGACTCAGGGGACTTGGAGCTCGTTACCCTTCCGGCTATTCCAAACCCCTTGAACGTGAAGTTTATGTCTTTGCCCTGGCTACAGATGTCCGTTGTACCGTCCACGTCCAGGGATATCTCGGTCGGCTCGAAACTCCAGCCTCGGGGTGGCACGACCTGGTTTCAATATTGGGTTAGAGTAAGTCGATTTGAAGGCCTCAGAGGAGGGGGGTAATTACCTTGAGGATGTACTCCCCCTTGTCGTAGAGGGGGAGGAAGTAGTAGCCGTTGTTTGGGGCACATTCTGTCTGGTCTTTCAAGCTTCCGGATTTCGTGTAACTTCAATTAAAAAAATATAAATCAGAGAAAAATATGGGAAGTGAGACAATTAATTTTTGTGGTTATTTTATTCATTATTTTCGAGGGCAGCATTATAGGAGGGGCCCTGAGTCCTCATGATACTCGAATTAAATTCAAGATAAGACAATACTCACAGTTTTATGTGAACTTTAGAGTAATCGATGCTCGCGTGACTCTTGATGAATCCCCCACATCCCAAAATTTCCTCCCCCAGTAATCCCTGTATTACTGAGAGAATCGCAATGGTAAAAACAATAAAACAACTGTACATCGTCATATTTTTGGATTATCAGTTACAACGACATAATTGACTTTTTCTAAAATAATGACTCTAACCCAAAATGAGTAACGAGATAAATTCCAACCCCCCTAATAGCAACAATATGTGGCGAGTCAGACGGTCAGGCCTAATATATTATAGAAAGGAAAATGCGACATCTTGTGTTAGGGATTGAAAATAGTATTCTGAGATTACAGAGTTTTGTAAACGCCATCAAACGCCATTATTGCGATAATTACACAACGCTGTGTTTATTAGTGTTTATTATGTGAGTCCAGTAGCTGTCACGACTCCAGTGATTATTTCTAATCGATAATTACTTGAAGATATAATTTTGTGTCGAAGGTGATTTGTTCGGATGTGTAGTCAGCTGGACTGAGGATTTATCATGGCAAATCAAATATGCCTGAAGTGGAACAGTTTCTTGAACAATATTGCCACGAGTTTCGAGAGCCTCTGGGAGGAGGAGGGACTCGTGGATGTCACTTTGGCAAGTGACGGACAGTGCTTGACAGCTCACAAGGTCATTCTATCTGCGAGCAGTCCTTTCTTCAAGAAAGTCTTCCAGGTAACGATTTTTTAGAATGAAAACAACCCCCTTTCTGATTGATCCATTTACACTTGATTTTTTATAGACGAATCCGTGTCAACATCCAGTGATAATTCTCCAGGATGTCCACTTCACTGAGCTCGAGGCTCTTCTCATATTCATCTACAAGGGCGAAGTGAATATCGAGGAGAAAAAACTGCCAGATCTGCTGAAGGCAGCTGAGACCCTCCAGATTCGTGGACTCTCTGGCAACGATTCATTTGCCAAAGATGCTTGCAGAAAACTGCCTGAGTTGGGTCCACCTCCCCTGGAGAAGAGCACCCAGAGTGTCAGCGAAGAGACTCCCAAGAGGAAGAAAAGGAGGACCGACAAGGGAAATGATAATTCCATCCTCGAAACCGCTCTCAATCCCAGGAGGACTCGATCAGCCAGTGTAAGTGAGACATCCAGCAGTGAGAAGAGCCCCAAGGAAGTGGAGGTTGAACAAGTTCCCGATAATGCTGTGTACGATCCTCTAGAGATGAAGGTGAGAGTTCTCTCAATTTTTTATTATTGATGAAATTATATTTTTTTTCTCGTTACAATGATACGAGATTGCCCCTAATTTTAGTAATGTAATTGAAGGAGTTATTGAAATCTTTTGCAGATGGAACCTTTTGAAGTGGTGATGGAAGACTTGGGGAAAGATGCTGCCATCGATCACGACAGACTAGACCCTGAGAGTCCAAATGAGGCCCAAGGTGTGTAGAGATCCCCAAAATGCATGAAACCTCCTCAAATGTCCAAAATCCCTGATATTTATCGCCCAATGCTTTATCGTCCAATGCAACATTATCCCCAAAGCACATCAAGCCCCTCGGTACACCTCTAGCTCCATACTTTTATGTTTAATCAATAAATATAAAGCAATTAGTGCCTGTGAAGTTGATCGCGTGACTGAGTTTTGCTTGTATTGAGTTGTCGTCTGTGTTGATCCCCCAAGCACAATTAACGTGAATCCAATGAGAAAAGAAAAATAGAAAATGATGTGTGTGGCAGGGAATGCTAGAGATCCAATGGAAGAGATTTCTGGCACGCTGTCAAGCCCCTCAGGACTTGCCGAGGCAAAAGCTGTGCTTTTTCCATATCAACAGTTACCGTACGCTGATTTACTACCGAGTCCGGAGATCATTGGGGCGTGGGCTACATCGAGACCGATGGATCATCTGGCTTGTGATCTAATGAAGTTACTCTTCACGTCTGAAGAGAGGATTATGTGTAATGTCAATGGGAAAATGGGAAAACGACAGTTTGATAGCAATAAAATAAGGCTTATCAGAGAAGTGCTGTTGCACTTCAGTGGAATATCACCAAATAGTGTTGACTGGGAGGAGGCGTGGAAAAACTGTGTTACAAAAATTGATACTAGTAATAGGGGCCTCAAGAGGTATCTCTATCAGAGACGGGCTGTTTACAGTCAATGACTAGGGAGGTATAAGTCAGGGGGCAAACGAAAACGCCATCACTGACTTGAAGACTCTTTTTTAGAGGGGATATCCAGGCGAGAATTATTTATTGACATCAATACGAAAAAATAATTTCTTTGTTGTTGTGGAACGAAAAGGCAATTGAAATAATTGTCGTTTGGGAGATTGTACTGCACTTGGATATCCTCGAAGGAAATTCCAAAGTTACAATAGTCAAAGAACTTTTCAAAATTATTTCCTTCAAAAGATTGTTTTAATATTTATTGAACTATTGATGAAGAAACCATTCCAGCATTTTCTGTCATTTGAAATTCAGCTTTAAACTGTAGAATGTAAAAAATACGATTGGAAAATCGCACGGGTAGTGATTATTGTGAAAATTTAACGCACTAGAGGCTTACAGTTATGTCTGTAACGGGGTGATTAATGATTCTTAATTTAAATACGTGAGATTTGACGTAAATGTTATGTTAATGAATGCTTGTAGAGTGAGCTAGGATTAATCATTAGAATCTGTGAGATAATGAGCAAATAATAATTAATAATATTTGGATGAAAAATGTGACTCTGAAATTGATGGAAATCGAGTCAGAGATTTTGTCAATTGGTGATCTAGTTCTTTAATTCCGATCTAGTGAATTTTGCTCAAATAGATTATTTCATTTTTGTTTATTCACTCGGTCGTTCATCGATAAAATGTAAAAGTCTATTTATTTATCGAAATCATTTCCTTTAATTTCAGAATCTAGATAAAACGATCACAGTACTCCTCAATTATTAATAATAAATACGGAGATTTAAAAAAAATCTTATCAAGCTCTACCCAAAATTCTGTATTACAAAATGAGAAAAATACAAGAAACAAAAAATACATTGATATTTTATATTGATGAATATTGAATTCATTGACCCCTCAGCTGTATTCATCTGTCGATGATAAATATTTCCAGGCACATCGTCAATGCCATCAGTGACGGTGATCGCAGAAGCCTCTGAAACTCTTGCAAGATTCAGTGAAAGATATAATGAGGAGGAAATGACTGAAGACAAGAGGATGATTTCAGGAAATCGTGAAATTATTGAGGGTTCGGATAATCCGGGAAGATCTCACCCAAGTGCTTTTTCATCATTCGCAATACCAGAAAAATTGAGCAAGGCCAATGCTGGATATCCACCTTTTCCCTGCCCTTTCTGCGATAGAGCCTACACTTCCTGGGGATTCAGGAGGAGGCACATCAAGGCTGTTCACACCATCTCCCCGAAACTCAATTGTAAATGGTGCGCAGAGGTAAATTATATAATTTCCAAGACAAATTAATTAATTTCTCAGCAGATTACAATATGAATAAATAAATCAATGATGATAATTGAATGCTAGAACTATTCGTTAACGATTTGAATTTATTTCTGCAGATTCTCCCAACTCATGCTGCTTGGACGACTCACGTGATATCCTCTCACAATTTATCGGCAGCAGATGCACATAATGGGCTTTTGATCCTCGAAGAGGCTCACATGGTCCTCCAGATAGCCCACCCCACGAGACTGGACACACTGGTGAATATAATAAAACAGAGCTCTCATCAGACAAATCGTCGGCCCTCAGACTAATAAAAAAACACGAGAATTGGATGTCTCAGAATATTCTGGAGGTATCCAGGGTAATTCATTTAATTCACTGTGATTTACATGCATTCTCATGGTCTACGATTCATACAAGTATTATCAATGGCCAGTAGATCAGTACAATAATCGTTACTCAACCAATAATTAATAAGAGCCTTTTATACTCAATACATTTTATATTCTATACCTAGTTGAGTTTTGCCGGATCTATGAATATTTTTACTATTTATGCATCAAATGTTATTGATATTTATTTAACCACTGTAGGGAGTTGAATTGTCAATTATCCTTAATTCCTGGAAGATTAATGTCTGGAATAAAGTAATTATTTTTATAAACTTCGTAAATTATCGATTGCATTCGTATTATTTTTATTTCTATCGATTAAATATCGCCTGGAGATAATTGTTATCTTAATTTTTATCGAGCTGTTAAATCAATTCGTTATTATTCTTCATAGTTTAATTGTAGGTGATCTAAAAATCCTTGCAGTATCCCTCAACGATAATTCCAGGTGCAATTTCAACGCGAGAGAGTCCATCGGGTCCTATGACGGTTGTGGGTGCATCAATTCGATGGGCTTTTTTTGGTGGATCTACACCAGATGCACCTTCTCCTGGGTTGTCGTCTTTGTCAACACCCCAGGCACCCTCTCGCCCGTATTTTTCAGACATCCTCACCATTTCGTTAGGACTCCACTCTGGGGACTCCACATTACTTCGATAAACTGTCACTGCGTCTGGATCATTGCTCGCTTTGTAACTGATTTCATTATCGCGTAATTGTCTGGATGGCTTCGGCACAGAGGGTGGATCATAGGAAGGTGGTGGTGGTCGATAGCTGTCGTACACCGGAGTTCGTTTCATTGATTCTCGTTGGTGAGCAGTCTTTCGAAGCATTGCCTTTGAAAAATTTTATTTCATGGACATTCTAAATTCACTAGATGTAAAAATTCAATTTTACGAAATTGTTACCTGGAAGTTAAATGGTGGATCCTCATCGTAATCATTGTTATTGCTATTTCTTCGACCAATAGTTTTCAATTCATTAATTGGATTCACCCTGAAACACATTTTCACTGAACCACAAATTTCACCTGCAACCTGAAAAACGATAAATTGGTAATCACGTACTATCAACAATTACCTATTAGCACCAGCCATGTTCCTATTTCTATCGAACTCCAGTTCATCAGTGCTTCTCCGTCGGCCAGTCGTCATCCTCTCGTCATCCCCCCAATTTCGATTCTGCATTTGAGGAATTGGAGGCGGGGGATTCTTTTTCCTGGACCTCACCGAGTCATTATCATTCCTATTATAATTATTCTGCAATGAAAATCCAAATTACAAAACCATCACAAATAATAATCGAGGGATTTATGAAAAGAGATGTCGTACTGAGCGAGAGAGATAGCTTCCAGCAGTAGGGCCAGTGGGCCCCATAAAATTGGGTCTGTTGTTCACAGGAGGATTGACTCTGGGTGGAGCAATCTCAGGAGGCAGTTGCACAGGAACCCTGGGATCCCTGGAATACGGAGTATTAATAATACTCTGACCACTGTTAACAGGGCCCCTAGGTGATTTGTGGGGAGAGTTTGTAGTCTGGACCTCGACGTCCCTCTTGTGAGGATTCGTGAACCAGGGGACAGTCTGTCGTCTGAGAGGTGCGTCCCAATTCTCGTGCATGTCCTCATCAGACAGTGAGGAGCACAGGGAGTTGCCCCTAGGTCTTCTGGCTCTCGAGGGTTCATTCATGTAAGCTGTATCAAAAATCGGGAACTCCTGGCTGAGATCGAAGGGCAATTTATGCACCTGGGGCCTTGGTTTATCGAGGAATGAGTCGACAGTGACATTTGGATCGATTCTCCCTGAGGGCACCTTCAGGTTCGACTTGTGAATGGCCGAATTCAGGGCTTGATTGAACAGGTGTACCTGTTGAGACAACTGCACCAGATCCTGGTACCTGACGGATCTGTACCTCAAGAGTACCTGGAAGACGCTCTTTGTCCTCCATTTCCTGGCGTAGTACACGATGAATTCTTTGGTGTCAACGTCAAACTCTCCTTTCAGAAGAGGCCCAGTCTCCTTTCGCGCCTGATGACCTCGAAACCTCGCCTGGATCTTCGTGGCTGCTTCTTCCTGTGACATATTCGTGGTGCTCATCTTCCTCTGGAGTTTCGCCTTCTCGTTGACCTTCTTCTTGCTGGCCACTCTGTTCGCCTTCTTTCTCGCCAGGAATGACCTCAGCATCGCCTGGATCTTTATGATCTTTCTCACCTGGATCTCGTAGAGGCGCGCCAGGTACTCCTCGTTGTAGTACTTCAGGAAGACCTTCGTTTTACCCACCACCCAGCCCTCCATCTTCAGACGGACCAGCAGCAGACGACAGTTATCTCGGGTTATCTCCACGTTCTCATCGAAGTCGAAGGCCAGGAATTGATACCTTGAATATAAAAAATCCAGGGATGATACTTATTCCAGGGAAATATTTTTTGTGGACGTGAATACCTGCGGAGAAACTCCTGGAAAGGCACTCTGTAGGGATAGCCCTTCTGGCGTGCCTTGGCCGTGTCCAGCAGGGCTAATGCTCTTATCTGTTGTCTTACGATTTCTCGATGGAACCCACGGGGTTTTGCCTCCAGGTCCGCCCTGATGCACCTCACAAAATGTGTCCCACCACTTCCTCCACCAATTGACAGGTTCTTCAGAATTTCCAAGCTGGTGGATTTAAAAATGGCCGCGCACGTTCGCATTTTTCGAGTTTGAGAGAATTGACCTCGCGATGCTGTATTGAATCTCTAATTTATTAACAAAATAATTAAATGAATTTCCATTTTTTTCACGCTCTGAAACGAATGCAGTAAAAATAAATCATATTTATCACCGGATTAATTAATTTTTATAAATAATAATTCTCAACAATTCTCACCCTGAGTCTAGAGGGTTCTGGCAATCCCAACAACTCCCGCTTCGGTTTCACCCTCTTCTGGGCAGTCTTGGGCCCCTCGATGACAACAGTTAAATTTCCAGACTTGGTCAGCTGATTCGTGAATAATTGCTTGACAACATCGTCTGAGGACAGCCTCATGGCGTTGATCATCTCCGGGGGGATGAAGTCCCGGTTCTTCTCGACGATTTCCGCAGCGTCGTACGTAATTTTTCCAGTGTAATGAGCAACCGTGAACTCGTGATAGCTCACAGCTTTGACGTGAACACTCTTGGCGTGTCTCTTCATCTTCTCGATCATGTACTGGGTGTCCTGTTGTTGACGAGAGGCATGATCAATCAGAAGAAATAGACCAGTGTCTTTTCCCATCAATTGCTCAATGGCTTCTCGATTGTCGTAAAAATGGAAATGCTGGACTGGAATATTTTCTTCTTCCTGTTCTTGCTGGAAAAATAATTATTACTCCAATTCAATACTCAATTAATTAATATTACTGTTGTATTATTAATTAATTATCATTTCATTTACCATTTCCCACGCAAAAACTCTCTGATTGTAATAGCACTGGAGCTGCTCGTTCATTGTATTAACGATGAGCTGTTCGAATCGATTAACAGAGAAGCACTCGAACCCGAACATGTCCAGGACACTCACCACGTATTTATCCCCGAAGAGAGTCCTCGTCATGGATAATTTGATATTTATGCTATTGATTATCCAATCGACGAGCCTCTGGTACAGAGTATTCGCTAAAACATCACGAGCCTCTTTCGCCTCTTCACACGTATGCTTTCGACGAACTGCTGCTCCTTTTTTAAGAATGCAGTAGTTCGTGAGGCACCAGACGAATTTTTTGGGGTCAAGCCCCAGGTGTTCTGCCACTGGAATCAAATGTATTGATCCATCAATTTTTAGGAGCAAAAACGGAAAAGAAATTGAGAAAACTCTTCCTTGAATTATTACCAGTGTAGCCCAGATCGGAAGTCTCCACTTCAGCTTCTCCGTTGCTGCCCTCAGTGAAAGACACCTCCCCCAGGAGTAAAATAGCTGATAGTGTTCTCCAGATGAACTCCGTATGCTCATCCATTTCCATGAGCCTGAGTGTCTCCTCGATCTCATCGAACTTGAGAGAATTACCCTGAGGATCATTTCTCACCTTGAAGGAGCGATTCCTCGAGTTCGAGTCGTTCATCCTGAGGTACCTCATTCGCCTTCCCCTCGGCAAACTGTACTTCTTCAATCTACCCTTGGCCTCCATACCGTCGTACAAATAATAGAACACGTGAAAATTCGATTTATTTCTGGAAAAAAAATTGTGATTTCAGTAGTGAGGACATTAAAATGTCAGACATTAGTGATTGAATTGTTTTACGTGTCTCTGGTGGAGACTCGCCATTTCTCCAGCTGGTGAAGCCAAAAAATAGCACCGGATGCTTTTCCAGTTGAGCCAAAGGTTGTCTGAATCTGGAGAACGCATCTCGTTGAATTGGTGTTGAGAGGAGTCGCTGCATGGGAGAACGAGTGGATCAAGTCAATGGCTTTGAAAACTCTCACTCCGATGTCCGTGAGGCTCTTCAACAAGACATTAAACATTTTTATTACCAGCATAAAGTGGCATCACGCTTCTCAGTGATAATTCTCTATTCTTGGATACCTTGCCGAGGTACATGAGATGCTTGATAAGATGTAGAGCGTTTGTTGTTTTTCCTGAGTTACTTTCACCAGCGAAGAGAACGTGCTGGGGCTCCTCGTGGTGGAGTACGTCCTGGTACGCACTGTCTGCCACTGAGTATATGTGGGGGGAATTCTCCGAGCGTGATTTGAAGTTGTATTTTTCGTGGTACTGATGACAATCCGTCAATCAGGGAATAGCAGTCAAAAAAATTCATTCAATTTTTTTGTAATTATTGATTTATCTCGAGAACTATCAACGTTAGGAAAAATCTTCATAAGAATTTTTTTTTAGCTGATTAAATTTTTCATGCAAAAGGTCACCTTATATTTTTTTCTAAAATCAATATTTTCTTAGATAAATCGATTTGTAATACTGAAATATTGAATTTCGATTGCACAGTAATATATAAAATTTCTCACATCATTCGCGTAGATGTCCTGGATCTCATTAGGATTCAAAATGACGAGGATATCTCCAATGAAGGTCTGAAAGTCACCACGTTTGATCCTCTCGAGTAGTTCATCGAGAATGGTGTCCTCAGTGAGGACCTCGAGGGCTGCGAGATCCTCAGTGAGCATGACCTCGGGAGGCCTCTCGAGGTCCCTCTTGAAGAATCCATTCCTGACCATGACCTCAGGAGGTCTTGGCACTTGTTGCCTCTCCCTGACACCCATGGAGAGGGCCTTGAGCTCCTGAGTGAGATGATAGTCGTTGTCAGGGAGTTCAGCGAGGAAGGGATGCATCAGCATCTCAGCCATGACCGGTCTGTTCTCTGGATTTTTCTCAAGACACTCTGCGATGAAATCGTTGAACGTCTCGGACCAGTTGACAGGTCGATGGAGACCCGGGGGTGGATTCCTGACAATCTGGAAGAGAACTCTGGTGGGATGCATGTCCTGGAAAGGTGCTCTCCCATCTGCGAGTTCAATCGCAGTTATCCCGAGTGACCAGACGTCAGATCTAGCTGTGTATCCACCATTTGGATCTCCTCTACTGGTGACAACCTCTGGAGCCATCCAGCACGGAGACCCTATGGTCGTTCTTCGTTTTCCAGCTTCTCCTTTGAACATCCTGGAGAAGCCAAAGTCCACGAGCTTGACTTCACCTTCTTTGGAGAGAAGTATATTGTCTCCTCTGACATCTCTGTGAACCACTCGATTCTCGTGCAAATGGGCTAGGGCCTGGGCAGTTTGTTTTAATTGACATAAATAATTTATAATAAATGTCTGGTCTTTATTTATCCCGGATATTGTGACACAGGCATGAAATCATTAATACACGACTCATCAAGACAACTTGGTGGTCGGTAAGTTGTTAAAACCGATTTCTTTCTGGCTTCATATCCCCATTTTCATGATTAAACCGAGATAAAGTAACACAAAATGTGTGCGGCGAGTGAGAGGGTGGAGGAGAAGGTAACATGCACCGGTGTGAGTATTTATTTCGCGTGTAATTTGCCGGCATTAAATGTCAGCTTGGCCTGATTTACCGCAAAAACTCGAGAGAGCAGACGAATTGCTACCGGTGTAGGAACCACAGCCTTTGTGCAATCGAACTTGCGTTTGAAGGTGATTGCAGTGGAGTGAGGAATGGATATTCTACAATGGGTTTTGATAATTTATTAGGGGGAGGAGGAGTAGGAGGAGGGGGAGGTGAACGAGATTATCGCGAATTCCGGGAAATTGTTGGCGGTTTAATAATTTATAGGATTATATTTTATTTCATAGAAAAAGTGGAATCGATGCTAGAGGACGGATTTATAAAATAGAAGGAAAAATTCAGTCTTACCTTGACTGTTTCTTTGAGAACGTAAGCGATCTGCTCCTCTCGCAATTTCTTCTCGGCGATGCCGAGACCCCTCACGAGGTCCATGACTGGTCCGCCGTCGCATAACTATGGAACCATGAAGAGGCACATGAAGAGGATGAAGACAATATTTTCAACACTCAGAAGAGGAAAAAAAAAAAGGGAAATTAAGGTACAGCGAGACACGGTGTAATGTCGAGCGATAATAGAAATACCTGGGTAATTGCGGAAGTAATCTAGGGAACAGGGGTGGTGAGAAATGAGAATTGAATTGTGGTTGACTAGTTCTTTTTTTTTGTTTATTTTTTATTTGAAAAAATGAAGACGGAGGATTGAAGGGAGGCCATTATTCGCCTGTGGTTTTGTTAAGCTCTCACGGATTTATCTCTTTACTCTGTAATTATCGGTTTTTGTAAAAATTCCGGACTTTATCTCAGAAATTTTATCCCAATTCGCGGAATTATTTTTCGTACATTCCTCCACGGTGATTCTCATTGTTTTTATCTAAAACTGTTTGAACGGATCATATTCTGCCGAGAGCAGGAGGTAAGAGTGAGTTACAGGTATGAACTTTATTACAAGGATACATTGAGAAGGGGAGAGGGTCTAAAATGTAAGAGGACGCGTAACGACAATGTGCCGGTGATTTATAGCCGACGATAATTCATATCGTGCATTTATGATCGCATAGTCGAGAGTCTCTGGTAGCTACATGCTCTTGTGGAGAGTAGACTGGAGGACGAGGGCATGATTCGTGAAAAACCCTCTGCACTCCTCTCCATTCTCCTGAGTTACACCAGAAAAAAAAAAATTCTTCATCTATACCAAATGATTCATCTTCATTCAAATCGTATAAATTAATTTATTAAAATAGTCCATCAATGCGTGATTTTTATTAATTAAAAAAATATATATCTTGAAAAATTGGAATTCAAGAAATTGTTGTAAAGAATTGAAGAATTTTTGAACGAAATTAGACAAGTGATATTGGCATGCCGTGAAATTGAACAATTGCTGCCTTCTCAATTTGTTGATATTACGTATTATTTTCAGGTAATAATAATTATTCATTACATCCACAAAAAGCGATAAGTAATAATATTTTTTGGAGCACCGATGGAGGTCTGATCGTAAATTAAGTACAGCGACGTGGCCGGGACCTCACCTGCATATACGAACGAGTTTAATGATTGTTTAATGGCCACGCGTGTCGTAAATTATCCGTGTATTCGAGCGTCTCAAATCCCTGAAATTGCCTCCGGGTTGCGAGGGAGATCGCCAACTAACAGTGAAAAATTCACCATTCACCAGAAACAAGGGGAAAGAGAGAGACAGCCCTTTGGTTACGCTTTGGGATTCAGGGGGAGGAAAATAACGATTTTATCAGTTTTCCACGGATTCATTTGTTCCAACAATCATACTTACCTCCATGACCAACCATATTTGATCGTAGTCTCCTTTTCGTGACGATCTCTTCCGGTAAATGCCGTAGAAATCGGGGAGATTTGAGTGGCCACAGAAATCACGAAATACTCGGTACTCCTCAACTATCAATTGCTGGCTGTCAGGGGTCAACTCTTGAATCTTCACTGCAACTCTCTTGTTACCTGTTGATTACCGTAATTCAGGGGTAATACGATCTTTCCGGGGTGTAATCAATTTTTCTTGGGGCAATCAATTTGTTAATCACGCGGAATATTCAGCAGCACCTGATATTTCCAATTATTCGAACTCTCGGGGCGAGAGAAATTTCGTACGATTTTTAAATAATTGTTTAAATGGTGGAAAATTAAGGGTAATTAATATTCACCAGCTTGAGTGTCAACAGCCGAGTAAACGGTACCACAAACTCCAGTTCCGATGATGTCCTTGAGGACGTAGCGTTTTCCGGGATCCTGAATGCTGTCCATCGTCTTCAGAGTTCCAGGACCTGTCTTGTTCTGGACCCTGGACTCTTCGGGTTTGGCTTTTTGTCCTCTGTAGATTATACTGCTCTCACGATTACGACTGGAGGAACGATCCCTCCGGGGAGGATCGTAATCCCTCCCGTTGCTGTACTCGTAGTCATCATCTCGAGGGGCTGAACGTCCTCGTCGTCGTCTATCCTCTTCGTCAGAGAAATCGAAACTCTCTTGATTACCGTACCCACCCCTCCGGTAGTCCATTTTATTTTTTTTTATTATTTTTCCCGCGACCTCGATGTAAATCCTAGGAAAATTCAAATTTCCGCGTCTTTACAGATCTCACATGCCCCTCAATTTTCGAAAATATCTCTGAATATGAGGGAGATATCAAAATTGTTGTTAAAACCTTTTTTGCAGCGACAAAAGGACTCTACAAAAAGTTTCTAATAAAATTTTCACTATCTCTCTTGCATGCAGAGATATTCCCGAAAAATCGGTTGAGAAAAATGTGAAATTGTTAATAATTTCGTTTTTTGCGTGCAATTATCTTGATTATTATTCGATTGTATTCAGGAATATTGGGAAATTATTCTGTGGAGATAATGGAGTCAGGTATTTTTGTAGTGTGGCAAGAAGCCTTCTGTAGGAATGACTCCGTGGACGTATCGTTTTGGGGCACTTCGAGAAGCCTTTCACCACTTCAGAGAGAAAATCCCTAAGAAGTAATATTCACCTCAAAAGGTATCGATTTCACCCACCTAATAACAGACGTCGTGAATAGCACCGATTTTCCACGACCTCGGACGGCAGTTGATAAGCTTCACTAATCGGATATACCAGAAGTTCCTTTACCAACGCAAAACGTTTCTTATCTCCTCCCCTGCACTCTAATAATTCAATTTTCCAACGAGATCATTTCGAGGCACGCCGACAATCTTAATTAAATCTCATCCAACAATTCGAGGGATCAATTTCTCATATCAAATAATTATCACACCGTCACCTTCTGCATTAATTATCCAATAAAAACTATCCGAAAATTTAATCCCACGCCGAACTGCCGACGCATGACAAATCCAATTTTTCAGTTTCCCTAAACACCGATAAATCTCCGAATCCATTGATTTTAGGAAAAAAAATGAGAAATATTTTTTTGTCTGAAATTTCATCCCCAATAAAAAAGTTCTTTATGGTTTTTACAACAGATCGATAGGTATCGGGATAAATCGATAATTAATCAGAATAGAGACGACGAAAAATGAAAATATCGAGTCACCCCAGCCTAATCTATTCCCAATTGTGTTACCGATTTTTTCATAGTCATCTCTCTTTCTTTCCCGCCGGTTTTCGCATAATCCAACGATTTGTCGGTCTCGCCGTGTGCGTATAAACCCATGTAATGCAACTTTTTGCCAGTTGTAATTCGTGCGCAAGGAGATATAGAAGCGAGAACGCGTCACTGAAACGTGCTTCCTTAAAAAAAAAAAATAAAGTAATGAAAAAAGAGATGCATTGATGCATTGACGAGGTTGAATTGCCATTTCTTTTATTCCCAAGCTCCTCTCGATTTTATCTGATTCCTTCTCTCCTGGGAGTTTAACGTTATTGGATGACACCCTGGCGTTAAATTATTGATGCCCAATGCAGTTGGACAACTGGAAAAAGTGTTTACACATTTGTTTCGTTCTCTTTTTAGGGCTGTTCTCACTATTTTTTGGTGTAAGTGGGGATGAGAGGATTTGGGAACGAGTGAGATTCTGTGGGAAAGTCGAAGTATGGGTTTTTCGTTGACGAGGACCTGGGAAAGGATGTGATTGGGCTTTCAGACCGGTTCGGGTACTTCGGCAACGGATAAATCCACATTTGCATGAAGTTAAGGAGAATTTTTTATTTTTCTACGTTTTGCTGATTTTTCCCATCACCAATGGTTCCACGAAAAAATTACAAGAAAAATTTTGTCAACAAAAAAATATTCCACTCCAATATATCTATATATATGTTCTCCATAATTTATTGCCTAGACGAAATTGTTGAATTGCAGAATTGAAAATTAACTGTCAAGTAATAGAGATAATTTTTTGATGAACAATAAATAAACAAATTCCGATATTTTCAAATCTAGCGGAGATACAAAAATTTTTATAATAACCTTTTTTGAAGCTCGTGAGTAGGCCTATCAAAAAGGTCATAACAAAAAATGGATTATCTCCATTATTTATTGAGTAAAATCCACATATTGAGTGGATTGTTGGCAGGACATATCCAGTGTCTCTGGTGCGGCATTGATATAAATTTCTCACTGAATCGTTCCAACAATTTTGATCGTACTACAGGTGCAGTCTAAAAATAAACAAGTGAGGTAATAAAGAAAGAATAAAGCTCACCTTTAATTAACCCGTCTGGGGAATTGAGGTAGGTTAGATACCCAGAGGCAGGTAGTACTCTAGCCACGACGTAGGAGCAACACTACACGTTTTTCCAACCCTCGAGAGAAGTGGTAGCTACCGTTGTGATAACAATCCACCAAGCCAGCGATGAAAAATCGTTATAACTTGGAAGTAGTGAGAGGTGGCAGAGGCCAAGCCCTCGAGTGAGGGACGCATTGGCTTCGTTGATCCAATAAGGTCGACTTAATTAACTAGCAAGCCTGTTAGCTCATTGATTCCCAGTCTCAAAGCACTTTGCTGCATCTTCATGCGCTTCGTTATTCCATTTTACCTTCCACTCGGATGGAAATTAAATTCACATCTCCCAGTGCGATTACTCCAGGAGGTGGATGGGGTGGAGAAACAAAATCTCATTAAGCCGATATTCATCGGTGGCTTACACTTGTAGTTGTCCTAATAAATATGTACTTGTACTTGTCTTTCTCCTTGTTCAGTACTCAGTACAACCGACTAAATTTAACTAAAACTCTTTAATCCATTGTTATTGTGAAATTAAATAGCTTGAGTACTCATTGTTTATTGAATAGAGGAGTGGAGAGGAAAAAATTGTTTAATCTGATTGACCGGATCGATGGGCTTTTCTACGAGGGATATCTCCCACCGAGACTATTGCATTTAGCTATAAATTAATGCGTTTTATCGCAGCTTCTTCTTGGTAGACGCGTGGTGTCGCGTCAAAGGACTTGCCGCCTTGCGATTATGTGCAACACATACTCCAACAAACTGATCTCAAACGTTAACTCGGTCGTACTCGTAGAGATTCACTAACGCTGAAATCTTCTTGCTCGGTTTCTTACTTTTCTGAGGGATTTCTCAGTTTACTGTTGTCTTACGATCAATCTGAAAATCTTCTCACGAGCGAGAAGAGGTCGGAGGACTGTCTTCCTGGTTTTTGATTACTCCACCACACCCTGAGAAAAATATTGGACTGGGAATATTCTCTTTCGTGCAATTAAATAAATTCGATATTCCAGTGGTCATTGCGGGTGATTTCTTTTTTTTTTATTATTATTGAATTCAATTCTTTTTTTTTTCATGGTTTGTTTTTTTTACCTTCTCGTCTCGGTGATCTGAATTATTTATTAACTCTTCTAATAATACTGCGGTAGAGGTGTTACAGTTGAGAGTTGATTCGTTTGATTTTTAAATTAATACAGTGACAATTAAATAAGTTACAGTATTACAAGTAAACCTAGAAAATAAATTAAAATACCACGATTCAATAACTAGTTCGTGTCCCATGATTGGATAATTCTTTATCGATACTGAATATTAAAGCCATGCGAATTTATGCAAATTTCATAATTATTCAACTAGTAAATATGGAAGAAATATTATATAAATATATAATTTCCTCATCAATAAATTAATCACTGGGATGTCCATCAGCCAAAAATCTCCACGAAATATATCTCTCCAGTTGAGCTAAAGTAATAAAAAAAAATCGAGAGAAAAATCGATGGATAAAAATTCATTAATCTAATAAAAATACATTTTTACACGTGTCCAAGGGAATAAATCACGAACAATGAAATGCAGTGATGATTTACAATAATAAAAAATTAATTTACCACTGAATTTTTCTCTCATTGCCACGATAAATAAATAAATTCACTTGCATACAGTTATCCATTCCTCGACTGTGCAATTTTGACACTGTACAACGCAGCACCAGTGAAATTTGCATCGGCATCTCTCGATTCTCCTCTGTCTAACGACATTGTAACCACGTCCACAGCACAATGACGCACATCCATCACCCCCTGGACTTGTCCTGTTGCACCTGCGACCAGCTGTACCAGGTATATCCTGATAAGGATCCCTCTCGCAGAAGTTTGGTGACTTCTGATAGTAGAAAAGTTGTTTAGCCAGGCCCTGGCTTTTTTTCTTCTTGCTACCGGCGTTGTTGTCACGTCCTGGACGATATTTTTTCTGTCGTCGCTCGGGTCGACGTCGACGTGAGCCCCGTATCCTCGTCAGAGGTGTTACATTACCCAGATTACTCTGGGCAACGAGAATAGCACCCCGAAAACGATCCTTCAGGGTTTTACCCACCTGTCGAAAATCAGGGGCTACTTTCCAGCAGGTTTTCAATTCACACGAGCCAGACATTCCGTGACACTTGCAACGGATCTGCATGTTGTTTGCTAGAGCCTGTAATTCCGTAAAATTCAACATTTACTAAAAAAATAATGCCACATGAAGAAAGGTGAATTTAAAGAGATTTAATCGTTAAAAAAATTGGTGAATGCCGGAGGTAGTGATTCGTAACATCTAGACAAAGAGGTGTCGCGTACAAAACAGTTAATGAGTCGACGGTTGGGTGGTCCAGCCCGGGGCATCGTCTTAATAACGTCGGGGCGAGTGGTTCGTAAGGGCTCCACCTCCTCCTTCTCCTCCTCCCCCCTACATATACCCCCTAAACAAAGAGCACGCGATAATCTCACGATAAAAAAAAAACAATTTAAATTACCAAACGTCCAGCTTGATTATTGTGGAGATTAACAGTGGACTGGATGTCGCCAGCCTTCTCCCTGGAATCGAGAAATTGCCTGGAGAATTCCATTCCGTACTCGAGATTGTGGGAGCAACCGCCCCATTTCCAGTGAGTACTTCGTGCTTTAGTGGGTGTTCTACCTGTGTAACTCGATGGATCACATCCACACGATATGAGACGTCCCATACTGCAGGCTCTTGCTATCGAGTGTGCAACACCAGCTGCTGATATTGCATAAGCAAATGCCGTCTCTCTGTAACCTGAAACACAATTAATTGACTCTGGATCAATTTCTCAGAGGATCAATTGGATGATACGAGTTGTCTCGTCTACTCTATCGTGACTGTCAATTAGGTACCAGTTGAAAAGCTCGTGACACTGTCACATTCAATCGTAATCGTATCGACAATCCACGAATCCTGGTGAAATCCTCGAGAAAAGACACAAGACGAAGAATAATGAGGAGTGACGAGGTTTGTAGCAAATTGCCAAGTCGTTGACGATTGATACGTGGACCAATGTTGAAAAGCGGAGATAAAATGCCAAGGGGAAAAAGCATCGAGCGAGTTGATGGCAAATATCAGGGCGAGATGCCATTTCGGTGGATCTCGTGACATTGACTCCTTTTGGGGGGACACCGTAGAAGGATATCACTGTCTCTTCGTGGTGTTCCTTTCTGGTGAATTCGGTAAATGAAGGTATGGAGGGGGGATTTTTCATCAAAACAATGGGAAGGGGTAGCGGTCAAAATCGAGTGATTCCAGTGGATTGTTACGGGCCTTCGGGCCCATCTCTTGCCGAATGTATAAGTGATATTATCCCGACAGGGGTCCCTTTTCTCGTTGAGATGCTGGAGGACTGAATTGGTGATTCGCGATGTCTCAGAAAAAAAGGTACATTGACAGAAAGCGATTCGAGAACAGTCCTGGGTGACACTCGGGAGGTACGTGCGAGATTCATGGCATCAGGGAGTCGGGTTGTTGTCCTGGTTGTGAGTTGTTTATTGGCGATTATTTTTTGGCTGATCCATTGGGGGAAAGAACAGCCCTAGGATTTTTAAATCTCCAAAATTATTCAATTTCAATTTCAATCAAGTCACATTTTTTTTTAGAAAAATAATTAAGAAAAAAATTCAATTTTTAATGAAGGATTTTTTTTTTTCGACAGATCATTCCAGAAGCAGCTGTTTTATAATGCTGATGGAGTCGTAATAAATTCTCCAGGTTGGAGTTGTACGTCTCCAGGAGTAAGGGCTCCGTGGGGATATGGTTAGAAAATCGATGCGTCGAAGAAAGGATGGGGAATAGAGAAAACGAGAGCCACTCTTTGTTTCCATCCTCAAACGGTTTGAGAGAGTGCGACGTTTTTCTCCTCCAGGTATTTTTCTCTCCAGCTATTTTTTTTTTTTTCTCTCCTGAAAAGTGCGTAGTGATGTGCAAGTCCTGCCACGGTTTGTAATAGTTGAAAGGTTCCAGGCGTGTCGATTTTAGACGCTTTACATCTACATCTTACATATTTATGTACACTATGTATCACCTGTCAGTAGTTTTTCTCGTACACGGTTTGAGGCCAGGCCAACGGCACTCTGGGGGCTGTTTAAACCGTCTGTCACGGTATCCTTTCTCGAATTGACCGTGACTCTGACACTGACGTGCGATGCAACATCACGGCAACGGAAGGCATTCTAGATTTCTATTATATATTCTACATCTCGTTGAAACAATAATCTACATCCCTGATTCAAACATTTAAACGAATTCTCAAATTATTCACAATGTCTCATCACAATTAAAAAATTTTTATGAACAAATTGACTTCTAGGAATTTAAATAAATTATCATGATTTTTATTTATTCATTTTTAGGGATTCCTCGAAATTATTTATAATTATTACATAGGTATTAATGGAATTGGGTTGAGTCTCAGTTTTGGGGAAATTAATACAAAATTTTTTAATAATTAATGACGGAAATTCTGAGATCCACCGATTTTCAAGTTATTTCCAGGTATTTTGGTCTTCTACCTGCGGTTACGATTTTTTAAAAATGGAATCCAAGGGCCTAATTTCCGTTGAATTATCGATGTAGATTCAATTAAAATTCGAATCATAAGAGATTGTAATCTGAAATATTTGGGATCGAGGAGTCGTGCCATGGGAAATATCCCGGTGAACATTCCAAAATATCAATAAATAATCCCTGATAATTTCCCCAAGGCCAATAAATCCTACGAATAATGAAAAAGGAAGGATAAAATGTCAAACGCGTGATAAAAACTGTCACCGACTTTTCTCCTGTGCAGGAGGTGCAGGAGCTTTTTTTTTTAATAGTCGCTGACTTCTCCGAAGGGAATATGAGGGAAAAATACAAGTTAAATAAATAAAAGACAAAGCGACGTGGTAGTGGGACACGGTATGTGTGATCATGAGCTGGAGATAATGCGGCTCTGACACATCACATCCAAGTGCATAACAGACGGATGCTGGTCTCCTTATAGTTTCAGGTCAGGTGCGCACCGAGTTCGTCTCAAACCTGACAAACACAGCCTATACGAGTGCTTCTACTGTCCTCGCAATATAAATGTTTCCGGTTTTTCCGTCTCACGCCAAAAAATCCGTGTCCCCAAAAAATCCCATCAAAATTTCTCAATCTTCCAAAATTTATTAATTCATTTTTTTGTGATGTAATTATAAAAATGAAAGAAAAATTTAAAAAGAAATGGGATTAATTGATTAAATTGGTAGTGCTCACCTCGTTGAAGAAGGACACTGCTCTTCTGGGTTCTGCTGCTGGCAGTGAGGGATGAACAATTCCATCTGTGCCAGGTAAACTGATGCTGACACTCGGCAATAGCCATTTGTAGGCCCTTGAGTGCGGCAACTGTAACGTCGGGGCTGATGTAACAGAGATCCCTCTGCTCTTTGGTAAGACCTGGTATACCATTGCAAATAACTGCACTACCACTCACCCAATCATCCACTGAATTGCTCATCAGACTTGATGCACTGCAACATAAACATCAATCAAATGAACAATCACTCATTATTTATATTGATTGCATCATCGATTGTTCCGTAATTAAAAAAAAAAAAATTATCTTGTCGCGAGGTAATTTGAATAATCCGCGGTTCATTCCCGCGAAATGAATCCAATTTGTTGGCGATAGGAGGAATAAGGGGGAATGAGGGGTCTGTTGGGACTGATGCAGAGTAAAGGATTGGGTTGTGTCCATTCTGGGCCCACGGGATTATTGAGAGCTTCCATTAACCCGTACAACGTATTCCGCGGTCCTATCTTTCGCACTATTGATGATCTAACGGTGACAGATTAATGAGCTAAAGTAGAGTCAACAAATTGCCCAGTAAACCCAACAAGTTGCACCATGTTTTACCATCTGACCGATGGTTTTACCTCGCGGAGGACAGAAAATCGCCACTTAGTGACCATTTCGGTGTTGCACTGCTCCAGGGGTTGGCGATTTATTTTTTTCCCTCCGGTTGTCGAGGATTTTTTTTTTATTATTCATCGGCTCGGGGGCTTGGAGACACCCCAATGTCCTCGGCACGTGCCCTGTGAGTATCAGGGGATTTGGATGATGAGTAATTACTACGCGTTTTAAAGGGTTGAGGGTAACTCCCTTTGAAGGTATTGACAGCCAATGACACGATTTTTTTTTTTCTCTTCAAAGTAATTTACGGTTTGTACAGAAGATTTAATTGATGCTAAAAAAATATACCCGAGATTTTTTTTTTAGTCAATGCTATTTGCTAAAAGCTGATAAAAATTATTTATTGTGCGATTTGACGGGAATTGTGGGAATGATGAGAATAAAAAACGAGGAAAAAGAAATCATTGAAAAATGTTGAAAGGAAAAATGATATCATCCAGTATTAATTCTCATAATCAATTCAAGTATAAAACGCGCGTTTAAAATTTAAAAAAAAACTCCAAGACAATAAATCATCGAATGATTGAATAATTCTGAAAAATGATATACGATATAAAAAATATATCAACTGCATAAATTGACGATTCGGGGAATGAAAGGGAAAATGGGAAAATATGCGTAATGGAAAAATGTGGAGAGGAAAAAATGATCTCATAGAATTTCGCAATATTTAATGGATGGAGTGCATTTAGCCAGCGGTATATCGAGTTCATGACGTAAAGTAAGATAAATAAAGTCGCTTGAAAAAGAAAAAAAAAAAGAGTAAATGGTCTGATGCAGGAGAGGAGATGAAGCGGGACAGTAAGGAACGCTATCGTGCATGTCCCGCATTTTTGTAATAATCCAAGAGGTCGCAAAAGAATCCAACATGGCGGATTGGTCAGAGTCGAGTGGTGACTTCCACCGTTGACTGGTCACATGCACACGTTAAAACACATTGACAAAGCTCCGATGTATTTTATTTACCCCCTTTGGTGTTCCACCTTTCTCTTTTATTTTTCGGACAAGCCACCGAGATGAGGAGAAACACGGAATGGAATTTAGCTTTAATGGGGGAATACCCTTCTGCTATTCAGCCAGATGGAGGCAAAACAGTGGTTTCACCGCATTAAAAATCAACTTGGGTGAAACAAAAATTCATTACGATAAATTGTGAGAGAGGAACGCGTGACACTTTTCATCCATCCAATTTGTTACATCCACCCAGCCAAATGTTTTTATTCAATCTGAATAATAAAATAATACGATGAAAAAATCGGCTGTTTCTTTTGCCATTTTTGGGATGGGGATGGCAACGATTGGGGGATTTTTTTGAAATTTATGTGATATATACCCATCACTGGTGTACGTGATTATGATTAATCCTGCCAAGTGTCTGTAAACGACCATCACATCGTGAACGAGTTTATAACGTCATTATCTCATCGCCCGAGTTATTTACACGCCGTCTCCTGGGAGGGCATACGTGTCTCAACTTATGATGTACCTTTCCGATTATTTGTAACACTTGACTCGACGATAATTAAACGACGTCATTCCGAGTGTTTCCACGATCGTGAGGGATAAGAAAATTACAGAACCATTAAAACGACGAGAGTCTAAATTCAATTCATTTATTTATTTCTGTCATCCTGTGGGGTCATTTATTGACTGGCTTTCCCACCGACGGCCGACGGTTTTTAATCACCGAAACATCCGCTGGATTTACTCCTTCAAACGGATAATTGAAGGAAATCCACAGCTCGAACAGAAAAATATTCATGTACTGTATAATTTCCCTCCCCCACTCGGAATTCCCCAGAAAAATTCTCCCCGTTCTGTTCAATTGATTAAAAATATTTTTGCAGATGAAATTTTCATTATCATTTTAAAAAATTCTAATTGAATTTTAATTCTCAGGAAATTTCAATTCCCAGGAAATTTCAAGGGATTTCTTCACCGGCAATGAACAATTCTTTCAAAAAATCATCATCAATGACTCATTAATTAATATCGTGATATCACACAAATAAAAATCCATGAACTCACCGTCTCCGTTCGACAAAAAGTACCAGAACGAGTACCGCAGTGGTGAATCTATTAGCAAAACCGATTCTCGATTTTTTCGGGACACACATACGACTCGGAGGCATCCTGTCATTGCCTCACCCTCTCGCCGGTCCTCTCGTCAATTCAACGATTTCAACCCCTGCCCTTAGCCCCCCGCCCCCCCACCCGCGATAAAAGCTCACAGATTAACGAGTAAAAAAAAATATATGTATTAAAAAAAAATCGTTAACGAAACTGAAGAATTCACTCGAGTCCTGGAAAAACAATAGTTGGTCTGTAGGGTCCTTCCGTAGGTTTTCTAACCAGTGGGTACGTGCTGACGACTTTGGAGAGTAGACGGCGGTTCCCTCTGATCAGCGGTGCGGCACGCGTCGAGGACTACGCGCCCTCGGGCACCGGCGCTTCTGCTTTGACGTACGTCAACGGCTTCGAGAGACAGCCCCAAGTTGCAATCTGCATCCACCACTGGATTCCCCACCAAATGAGAGCTTTTTTATAATAATTCCCGTGACCCCCAACCGCCCCCCGCTCAACCCCCCCAGCGATTTTCAGAAAAATGTCTTTTATTTTTATTTTTTCTTCAAGGACTTTCGGAATTCGTGACCGACAATCTCAGCACTCGAAATTTATCACGGATTCACTCGTTTCCCCACAAAATCACACTTGACACGTGAAACACTATTTTTATCTCATTCCTCAAACTAAACACTCGCGACTTCCGGTGGATGGTACCTCGCACCTCGCCTGTGTCTCACGGAGAGAAAAAAAAAATGTTAAATCAGGTGAAAATTAAGGGGAAAGTCAGGATGGACTTTGCGATCGTTCTCTCACTGAAAAATGTACCCCGTTTTCCTGAAGACCTCTGCCTTTCCTCACCTCACACCACCAAAAAAACTTTAACACTCGCCACCACCACTTTCTACCCGTGAACTTTTCAACGCCTCGTTTTTTCTACCTCTCTCGTTCCTTCCCACCTCCACCTCCTTCTTCTCTTTCTCATTCCCCTCCCCCTCACTCCTTATTATTATATTTATCACCCCAATCATGGGAATTCTCATCGAGAGATGATTTCGCTCATGATTCAAGAAATTCCATGATAATTTATTCACTGCCATGCGTTGGTCGACAGCCAATCGGCGATTGATTAATTAAAATTGTGAAAAAATTTGGTGATAAATGGGGTTGGAGTGACGATATTGGGGCTTGGATGAAAATGAGAATTCACTGTTTGGCCCGAGCTGTCAGGCAGATCGCTCTGTCTATGATGGAACCCTCGGTGCGCAGTGTTGGCGTTCACCACATTTGAAAAAGGGGGGGATACACCTTCCTCAGGGGAGAAAGGAGATACACAGCTGAGGAGCAACAAGGAACTAAATCTTTCTCCCCCTCTTCTTCTCGTCACCACTATTCGTCGCTTCACCACCACCACCATTAGCTTTTCTCAGTCTGTCTCTCTTCATTTGCTCTCTTACTCCACCTCCAATGCACGATCACCACTGGCCGAACCCTCGGATGCTGCGCGTAGATCACTCGTCCACTGGAAAAAAAAATAAAAAATCCCCCGATTCCTGAAAATCCGTGGAATTAAAAATTATTCGCACATTTTTCCAGCACCGTCCCCCTTCCCCCCTCCCCCCCATTTTTTCCCCTTTTTTATCTGGAAAATTCCCAGGGGAGGGTTCACTGGTGGGGGTGGAAAAACGAGTGGGGGGGGAGGTTTTTTGGATTTCTTGGGGTTCGAGGGAGCGGGGACGATAGGGGATGCGGGGAGGCGTCTGTCTCGGGTCACGTGATGTGCCCCAGTGGGAGGAGCCACCCCCTCCACCCCTTCTCCCCCATCCCCCTACTCCATTTGTTTTGTTTTTTTTTTTTTTTTTCATTTTTGGAGGGGACCTCTCGACGATTTGTGAATGAATTCCGTCGTTCGGCTTTTCCGGGGGTGACGATTGTTCTTCCATCGCCTCGCACCGATAATTACACAATTATTCTAATTTTTTAAATTATTCGAGTGTCAGAAAAGTTATTGTTGATGGAGAATTCTATAATGATTTTGTAAAATTGTGAGTGAAAGAGAAGTTGTTTATTATTTTGATAATTGGTATTTTGAGGTGATTAGTCTTGAGCTTTGACGAGCCCAATGAGATTACGGTTAATTAAAGCGGTATTATACCCCCGCCGATAATGAATAGAATTACGTGAGTCCGGGGGGGAATCAGTGCATGGGGGTGGGTTGATCCGAGGGCTTTTCGAATAGGGAAATTATTTCATCAGGGATGATTGAGCCCCGGGCGATTAGCAATTAGTGTATACCCGTTCTCTTTCGTGTGCTTCACGGTATTTCAAGTCTTCCCCTCTTTTCTCTGTTCTTCGGTGTCATGTGGAGATCAAACGGTTTGCCGCATTTTTTTTCGACGTGTACTTGGTTTCATGCATCAATGGCCTGTACTCACTCCCGGGGTAATGGGCAGTTGATTTATTCGTATGGATCCGATTAATTAAAGTGGAACAATCGGAGAAAATACGAATGACAATATACTGACGGTTAAAAAATCGTTTCAATTACTTTTTTTTTATTGATAATCACGGTAATTGGTGATGGGTGGCTTGAGGATCTAATCAGTCCGACGTTGATTACCACTTGACCGATAATGAGTGGACAGTCGATTGATAATTAATCCTCAATATGAAATCTAATTAATCCATACACCTCATTTCTCATGAATAAATATTACACATTTTTTTTTAAACATTAAGTATACAATTAATGTTGGAAAAATTGATGATGCAATTTGATTCCGAATATTTTTTTTTCCGAATTCATTTGAAATTATAAAATCGGGATTTTTCGTAGCTCACGGTTGATGCACAAGTCAATACATCGAATTAAGACGTAAATCCGTAACGACTCGGGAAAAAAGTGAAGAGTGAGGGATGGGGCAAGAAATCCGAGGGTAAAAATTTGACAATTTAATGCTCAGTGAAGCCTGACCGGAAGTGATGGCGAAGAGCTGAGTAAAAAAGCAGCCGTGAAATCGTTGGATAAACTTCGTGGGTAGTCCACTAAAATTTTTTATCCATCACCCTCTCCCCCTATCCCTCTCTCCCTCTCGCCCCCTCACCCACCCCGCAATGCCAGTATTTGTGCTTCGACAATTAGTTTCACACGCGCAGTAATGAGACTATTGAACAAATGGCGGATAATTGATACGTTGAAGACAATTAAATGTGATAATAGTGAGATATGAGAGGGAAACAGATATCGAATATAAAAAAAGTGAATCGATGAAATTGCGAGTGGGGACACGGGAGAAATAAATTGACGATTGGCACGACACACATCAGCCGGGACTGTGTCTTCAGTTATTGAGACGTCTTATAACTAAGGCCGGTTTGTTGGAATTTATAACCGTAAAAACGCGCTGGAGATGAAGGTTACAGGCACGTTCGAATGTTAAGGTAAAAAAAAAAACATGAAAACAAAAAAAGCTGAGAGAGATGAGGGGATAAATGAAAATAAGTACATGACTCGGCGACAATTCTCGGTTTATTGATCGTAAGAATTTCTATTAAATACGTATAATAATTATCCCCTCACCACTCAACAAACTGAACACTCAAATTACTACCAAGAAAAAATTCATTGAGAAATTGTAGAGCACGGTGAGTTTATTACAGGATTATTGTTAATTATTCTTCATTTATTCGATTGGATTAGTCCAGTGATAGTACATTCTTGAAATTCTAAAAATCCTCCATAATCTTATAAATAATAAATTGAGACGACCAATAGTTGATGTGAAAATGAAAAAATCGTTGAATATTTTGACTACTGAAATAATTGAATTATTGTAGGGGAGAATTCGATAAATGAGGAATGCAAAGGGAAATAAAAAATGTACGGAGTGTAAAAATGAAAGTTGATGTTGAAAAAGCCCCCGGGAGTATGTAGTCTGGTAATTTAAACGATTTGGTTAGTGTATGGGTGGGCAGAGGGAAGAATCTGGGGAAAGTTATGAGCTTGGGATGAAGCCTCAACATTTTAGAGTAAAATCCGCCCTCCTGGGATGCTACGCGTGGAATGCTTTAATAATGCATTCCTGATGAACGAACGCTTTCTAGTCTATACCTTTCAATATAATCCACAGATACTGTGGCTTGTGGCTTGAAAATATATAACAGTATTTGAACTCGGTAAATCCCTTGGAACAATGCGATTTATCGAATCGATCGAATTTTGTTTTTCTGGAGTTTATGAATTTCTAGGATGGAAAAATAAATTATTAAATCAGTGGAATAAGAGGAATGGGGGGAAAGGGGGGAAAGGGGGGAATGGAGGGAATGGGGGGAATGAGGGAAATGGGGGGAATAATTAATTTTCATCTTCACCGAAAAAATTAAGAGAAACATCGTAATGGGAGGTATTAATTTTAGACGTTAATTTCATCAGTTTTAAATGGTGAAAAATTAACGACAATTAAACCGGTCGGTTTGGCAAATTTGTCGAGACAGGAGTTCTCTTTTTTTTAAATCCCCTGATTACCTCAAATATCCCGTTCAACGCAGCATGCACGGAACTTAATACACCACACACGAATTAATTATCTCCTCATTGGTGAATTAATAAGAAAATATTCGTGTACTAATAAGTCACTGGTGATCGGGGCGTTGACACTGAGTTACGACGATAAAAATAATTATTTATCGTGCTACTCGATTTTTCTTGATTATTCAATATTGAAGAATTATCTGGAGAGAATTATTGGAAATAAAAAATTATTCAGGCAAAATTTAAATGGACATTTTTACACAGTATAATCAAGCGCTTAATTGATCGAATCATGGAGTCAAATCAGATGTGTCCAAACACGTTCATTATACCCACGCATCGATTGCCATCATGAACAATAAAGTGTTAATTGCGTTATTAAACGTGTACGTGGCTGATTTAACCGATGAATGTGCAGTGAGAATTTTTATCTCGTTCAGAATCTCGATGCAAGCCAAACCACTCAAGAGCTATTGTGAGATTATTAAATAGGATGATGATGCTCAAATTGCATCTCTACCACCCCTCCCACCCCTCCCGCCCCACCATTCATCGGGAGAATTT